GCTCTTTTAACACCGACCTCGATCGTCCTCTGTGCGCGAGGCATCAGGATGCAATTTTTATCCTTTTCCCTTTTTCGTATTTTTTTTTCTCGCACCGTTTCTCTCTTTCTGCGTCGAATGTAATTACGACAAATATTCAATCCGGGAAATGATCCGTATGCCTCGCGTTTGAGGGGTCGGACAAACTACGGATCGTCGAATTGCTGATTTGATCCGTAGACCAGAGCCTTGTATCGAGTTAATATCGGTTGGGTCAAAGGGCTGCGTTTAACGTTGCATTTCTCTCTCTCTCTCTCTCTCTCTTACTCTCCCTTACTCTTCCTTTTTATCTCTGTGATCCTGTGTTGCGTTTCGCGCAAACTTTCGCGTAACATACGATCACGTATCATACTACTGCAACTATATGCTTGTTTTTGATATACTACAACGTTTATGTGTGAAAAGGTCGTGTTTATAGGTAATAGTTTGTCCCCTGTCAATGATGTGACTCGGATCAGCGATCAAAGACTTGCATCGTGTTAATGACGCATTGATTGCGCCGATGACCAACGTTTGGTATCACATCAATATTACTCGCGGCATTGATAAAGAGATATAATTATGTTTGAGCAATATCTGTGTTATTTCTATCGAGTTAATGTGCAATTATGGAAAATACGCAGTCAAGGGCACACGATAACAATAATATCGATATGTGTTTGATATAATCAAAACAATTTTTTGAAATTAAAAGAATGATTCTCGAAAGAGCTTTCCAAACATCGCGATTGGTTGTCAGATAAAGATAAGTACTGGCACTTTAATGCATATCCGAATCGAGTTTATATGGCTACGAAAGGTGGAAGTCGGGGAAGAAGAATCTCGATGCCTCGATAACACCCGGAGATTACGCTGCGCACATCCTCGCTACGTGCATCGGATATGACGATACGTCGTAAACTTAAACTCCCCGTGACTGGGCGATATACGTTCCGGCATTGTCGATTCGTGATGGGTAGTCGAGCGGTTTCTCTACACGGGTGAGATTTTTACAGCGGCAGTAAAATCATTGTTACCTCAAAGTATATTGATACATTACGCGCGAATCGAATAATCGTTGAATTTTCACATGATACAAAATAGGCAGAAAAATTAATCCAATGTGCTATTTCGAGATATTTTTTTAATAAAAAGATTTTACTGAAGTATTTATTTATAACTAAAAATAACTCTGCATTAATTTCTATATCATCAATGAATTGTTGAATTCGTCTTCCAAAGAATATTTTGAAATGCAATTATCGTTGGAGTCACAGAACGTTTTTCCAATAGATCCACCTGCAACTGCCATCCTGTATACATGCCGTTTGCGGTTGCGGTATCGTTCCGTCGGAAATAAAAGCTCGCTGCTCCGGTAATCTTTGGTACGGAGTAAAGCGGATGGACGCGACGGGGTGGGCCGCGGGAGCGAGGCCGGGGGAGATTGGCGGAGAAATAAAATATTATTTCCCTATCAAACGGTATTACCTTCCGCTTGACGAGACTCGACGTATAACGGAGCCGATTTCCTCGCTTATTTTATTTCTCTACAGCGACTTGGATCTCTCCGTTGTTTCTTGTATTGCCATGCGGAGGGTGCGAATGAGAAAGACGGATGGAGAAAGGGGAAAGGGAAGTGTGAGGGCAAGGAAGAGGCATTTCTTTGGCTTTTCTTCTTCTCCTACAACGAGCTTTCGATAAAGTTTCGCGGTACCGGCAATATCTCTCGCTCGAGTCACGTTCGATGAAAATGTTGTATTGATTTACGAGTCGGTTATAAGGCAACCGACTGTACGCCTCGTCTGTGTGTGTCGCGAAGATTCAGGGAAATTACAGGCAACAGATCAGGCAGAAATGACGGCCGAACGGGAGAGATATTTTATATCATTAAAATCGAACGGCGTTATCAGGTTGATGATTGATAATTCGTGTGCCCTCGAGTGCTTCCTTTCTTTTTAAATATTTTAATAGATTGATACTATTAGTTGATTAATCGGATAATCTGACATTGATTAATCAGGATTGAAAAATTGAATATTTTTCACGTGATCTTCGTAAATATATATT